AGAAAATGACTTGAAACAATCGGATGAATTTCAGGCTAATTAAGAGCCTTTTTTCTTCCAAGTAAGAAAGTTTTTAAGTCCTATCCCAGTAACATGTACGTCAATGTGCATTTAAGAAATTCAATAAAGATTAATGTTCATTCTCATTTGACATACTTATTGTTTTTGGGCTTTTTTTCAAGTGTAAGTTTTCTTTAGTCACAACTGTACTGTCAACAAGTATAAATCACAACAGTATTACTGCATAGCAAATTGGCTGTCTTTTATCAATCACAGGACTGAAATAAAAGTAACAAACTGAAGATGACATATGAACATGACACTGTTAAGCTTTTTACTTTTCTCTTTTGAAACAGATGCTCCCAACTTTCTTAGCTGTGCTCCTAAAATCTTCAGCTGTGTGCCTAACATTTTGGCAGTACGCCTAAAAATTTACATCTGGTACCAAATTCAAATTTAACCTTTGAGCCCTGATAATTATCAATAAAGTTACATGTACTATCATTCAACATGCTCAATAAAAATTAATGAAATGTAGTTGAAGAAATGACACAAAAAGGAAAACATGATGCAACTTGACAAATGTAACCCTGGCTTGGAAACTAATCCAATAAAAATTTAATTAGGACACAACCGAGATGTCTTTTGGACAGGAAAAAGTTGCATAACTTGGTGACACACATTTTGAAGTACATGTACTGTTTTTTTCAATACATGTTCATTCTTCCTGGCAATAGTTCTACATGTACTAGCAGTTTCTTTGTCCAAGGCCTCAAAAAAGTTCTTCCACTGATAATAACTACACTGTACTATCATTGTTGTAAGGGCACAAGGATGTCTACCTGTGAAACCAACAAGTATAATTATAAGAGTTATTAAGTACATGTAACTATTAAAGCTAATTGGAGTCTGTGGAACACAGCCAATGAGATAATGTTAGCATGAATGCAATCATAAACATGCCACAATTTCAAACACAGAACTAAGTAGATTTCTGAAATTGTTACATTGTACCTCTTGCTTGTTGAAGCAAAACTCTCACTTTTTGATTGACTAATGTAAAACAATACTGCAAGGATGTAGCTGAGGAAAGCTAAACAGCCTTTGTTTTGGTCAAGCTGGATTTTTGACTTAACTGCACCTTTCAATTGACCCCATGTCTTTGTTTTCCAGAGTAATTTGAGCCAAGGGCTAAGTCTTTTTCAGCCAGTGAAATTACAGTGTAGCCAGCAGCCAGCTATTAGGGACATCCCTAATACAGCATGGATGTCTTTAGGGAAACTGGTAACAAGTAACACAAACACATGAATTGAGTTGTGGTTTCCCTTATTTCTTTCAAATGGCATCCAAAATGCTTTCGGAAGAACTAAAACCTGATTAATAAGATGAAAAGCAACAGTCCTAAATGATATAGTTCAAGTTACTTGTGTGCCAAGAATGAAGTACCAGTTTATTTCTATTGCTGTTTTGCAGCTAAATTAGTGATCAAACATGAATCAAAATTAAACCCTGTGGAAGTGGTTACATTCCTCCACCCCTTTCCCCTCTGGAATTTCCTGAGCCTCTTACCTAGGCCTCAGGCCCAATGCTCAAAACACTGAGGTATGGATAACCTTCAAACATTTTTGTGATCATTTTGATGTACCTGGTATCAGTTTTTAAATGCCTGAGGTAACGAAAAAGGATTAATGGCCCTCAAGATTAAAACTGTCAAGAAAGCTGTGGAGTATTTTTGGGAAGGACAGGCAGTCTCTCTCTGGTCTGAGGTAGTGGGTCAGCAGTCTGGAAATTATGTGCTTCCCTAGAAAAAGCCCTAAAATGCGATTTTCAGCATTCTGAAAATAGAGAACAAGAGCGTGTTTTTCATTCAAGAAAATATAGCTTTCATTCAACTTTTGAATTATCAGTCACAATCAATTCCTACAAGAAATGAACAAATGATATAATGAATGTACCTTTGCACTTCAACAAATTCTGCGTAAACCTATGAAGAAACTTGTGACAAATTGACTGAAATAAAGCGTTCACAAAAATTTTTATGACTAAAGCATAACATAAAGCCAGTGGGCCTTTAAGAAAACACATCGTAATAAAGTTTTCATTCAGAGTTTATGATATATTTTTTTGTTGACAACATTATTCAAACTAGTTGCTTCTCCTTTCTAGAAAAAGTAGCCGAAGCCAACTTCTATAAGCAAAGTAGCCGACATGTTTCATCGGCCGTCAGCGCTTACTGAAACCCCTGGTGTATACTTCACAGTACATATTTGTCAAATGCGAAAAAAAACAATTGCTCTTTCTAAAACTTGTGTACTTTATGACATCTCAAACTTCTCTTTAGAAGCTCATTTGTGTCAAGTTTGCACTTAACAGTTTATCAAGCCAATAACAGCATGACCACAAGTGAAGTTGATTGGCTAACACTGATACATTCTGCAGAGGTAGAAAACCTCAGTAAAAGCATCTCCATCAGGCGTATCTTTCCCTTTGCTCCCTACCCTTTTAATTTCTCTCTTCTCTTGTCAACCTTTACGCAGAATAATAACAATTCTGTTACCCTTAACAGTATTTTAAGAACTAATGCTAGTGGGTCAGAGCAGATGCATGAAACTTGTAATCTTAATCAAACATACCCGGGTAAGAATCGCAACTGATAGGAGGCGAACCAGTTGGCTGAATTTGGGACTACCAAGAAGAAATCCAGCTAGCGGTCAGAACAGGATTGAACCTGGGGTCCCTGAATTGCAAGTCTAGCATTCTAACCACTCAGCCACGTTGAAATGCGTAATACTCAGGTGGTTTTTAAGCACAATATTTAACATCCTACCTGGTGAATTTCTTCCTTCAACTAAGGCTTCAATGTAGGCATCATTAGGGGAATCAGTCCAGACACTGTAGATTGGCGTGGGAAAAGGGTTTAGTTTTGACAGTGAATAGCTGCAAAGAATACGACATAATCTCCCATTTCCATCCGAAAAAGGATGAAGATCAAGAAGTTCTAGGAGAATCCAAGCACAGGTTTTGAAAAAATCACACAAATCCTCAAAATTTGTCAGTCCATCCTTCGTGCAAGTATCAAACAGAAAATTGTACTTGTCTAATAAGTTGACAACTGCGCTTTCCATATCTTCAGGGTTCGCATAGTAGTAAATTTCTCCTCGAAATTCGGTCATCCGAGGCTTGTTGCTCATTTCTCCAGGTTTCGTCAAACCCTTTGAAAGAGGAATGTCTTGTAAGATAACACGATGTATCTCTTTTAGTAAACTTGCTTCTAATAGTCCGTAGTCTCTATCTAGTTCTTCCCTCTTTATTTTAGCCAACAAAGTTTCATATGCATTTCTCATGTTTAGAGTTTCTTGTTCTTCGAGCGACAAGGGACGTGGGAAGTCTCTTCGAGAGAAAATTCTTCCCAGAAAGCTTCTCGTTTCATCAAGCGTGCGAAGTCCATGTCCCTCTTCTAAGTTTGAACGGAAAATAAAATTGACTAGAAACTGCTCCTCTACCTTTTGGACCACCCCTTGATCGTAGGTACCATCTTTTGTCGCTGTATCCCACCTTCTTCGATAGTTAGCTACCTCGGAAATCATTTCTTTAACCGTCATCTGTGACGCAGAAGTTGGCGAAGTTTCCACAGCGTCGAATGAAATGAGATGTTTCACTGGATATTCAACAAACTTGCCCATAGTGGTGCATCGGCTAGCAAACTTCACTAGGTCTGAAGAGGAAGAGTTCCTCGGAAACAAATTTGGGAGTCAAAATTCGTCTTCTTTCGAAACGGACGCGACGCGCCGAAAGTTGTATATCTCGCCCTGATCACGCACTTCAACAAAGCGGTGACGTCATCTTACAACCGCCTTTCGAGTGACAGACTCGTACTCAGTCGCTTTTAGATATGATAGCTTTTCAAAAATAAATATTACTATTTGTAGGAATGTTAAAAATTTAGACGTTTATATATGCAAAAAAAGTACTTTTCTATTTGGAAAGACCTCCTCTGTATGTACCGTTACCAGTGGCAGATCCAGGGGAGGGGCACTGGGGGGCCCCCTGAAAATATAGCTTTCATTCAACTTTTGAATTATCAGTCACAATCAATTCCTACAAGAAATGAACAAATGATATAATGAATGTACCTTTGCACTTCAACAAATTCTGCGTAAACCTATGAAGAAACTTGTGACAAATTGACTGAAATAAAGCGTTCACAAAAATTTTTATGACTAAAGCATAACATAAAGCCAGTGGGCCTTTAAGAAAACACATCGTAATAAAGTTTTCATTCAGAGTTTATGATATATTTTTTTGTTGACAACATTATTCAAACTAGTTGCTTCTCCTTTCTAGAAAAAGTAGCCGAAGCCAACTTCTATAAGCAAAGTAGCCGACATGTTTCATCGGCCGTCAGCGCTTACTGAAACCCCTGGTGTATACTTCACAGTACATATTTGTCAAATGCGAAAAAAAACAATTGCTCTTTCTAAAACTTGTGTACTTTATGACATCTCAAACTTCTCTTTAGAAGCTCATTTGTGTCAAGTTTGCACTTAACAGTTTATCAAGCCAATAACAGCATGACCACAAGTGAAGTTGATTGGCTAACACTGATACATTCTGCAGAGGTAGAAAACCTCAGTAAAAGCATCTCCATCAGGCGTATCTTTCCCTTTGCTCCCTACCCTTTTAATTTCTCTCTTCTCTTGTCAACCTTTACGCAGAATAATAACAATTCTGTTACCCTTAACAGTATTTTAAGAACTAATGCTAGTGGGTCAGAGCAGATGCATGAAACTTGTAATCTTAATCAAACATACCCGGGTAAGAATCGCAACTGATAGGAGGCGAACCAGTTGGCTGAATTTGGGACTACCAAGAAGAAATCCAGCTAGCGGTCAGAACAGGATTGAACCTGGGGTCCCTGAATTGCAAGTCTAGCATTCTAACCACTCAGCCACGTTGAAATGCGTAATACTCAGGTGGTTTTTAAGCACAATATTTAACATCCTACCTGGTGAATTTCTTCCTTCAACTAAGGCTTCAATGTAGGCATCATTAGGGGAATCAGTCCAGACACTGTAGATTGGCGTGGGAAAAGGGTTTAGTTTTGACAGTGAATAGCTGCAAAGAATACGACATAATCTCCCATTTCCATCCGAAAAAGGATGAAGATCAAGAAGTTCTAGGAGAATCCAAGCACAGGTTTTGAAAAAATCACACAAATCCTCAAAATTTGTCAGTCCATCCTTCGTGCAAGTATCAAACAGAAAATTGTACTTGTCTAATAAGTTGACAACTGCGCTTTCCATATCTTCAGGGTTCGCATAGTAGTAAATTTCTCCTCGAAATTCGGTCATCCGAGGCTTGTTGCTCATTTCTCCAGGTTTCGTCAAACCCTTTGAAAGAGGAATGTCTTGTAAGATAACACGATGTATCTCTTTTAGTAAACTTGCTTCTAATAGTCCGTAGTCTCTATCTAGTTCTTCCCTCTTTATTTTAGCCAACAAAGTTTCATATGCATTTCTCATGTTTAGAGTTTCTTGTTCTTCGAGCGACAAGGGACGTGGGAAGTCTCTTCGAGAGAAAATTCTTCCCAGAAAGCTTCTCGTTTCATCAAGCGTGCGAAGTCCATGTCCCTCTTCTAAGTTTGAACGGAAAATAAAATTGACTAGAAACTGCTCCTCTACCTTTTGGACCACCCCTTGATCGTAGGTACCATCTTTTGTCGCTGTATCCCACCTTCTTCGATAGTTAGCTACCTCGGAAATCATTTCTTTAACCGTCATCTGTGACGCAGAAGTTGGCGAAGTTTCCACAGCGTCGAATGAAATGAGATGTTTCACTGGATATTCAACAAACTTGCCCATAGTGGTGCATCGGCTAGCAAACTTCACTAGGTCTGAAGAGGAAGAGTTCCTCGGAAACAAATTTGGGAGTCAAAATTCGTCTTCTTTCGAAACGGACGCGACGCGCCGAAAGTTGTATATCTCGCCCTGATCACGCACTTCAACAAAGCGGTGACGTCATCTTACAACCGCCTTTCGAGTGACAGACTCGTACTCAGTCGCTTTTAGATATGATAGCTTTTCAAAAATAAATATTACTATTTGTAGGAATGTTAAAAATTTAGACGTTTATATATGCAAAAAAAGTACTTTTCTATTTGGAAAGACCTCCTCTGTATGTACCGTTACCAGTGGCAGATCCAGGGGAGGGGCACTGGGGGGCCCCCCCCTTTCCTTTTTTTCCACACCAACCTAGGCCCCAAAAACCGGAAAAAAATTTTTGGGGGCCCCCCCTTCCCCCCCCCCCCCCTTTTTTTTGGGGTTTGGTTACCCCTTTCCCCCCCCCCCCCCCCCCTTATCTTAAGGTCTGGTTACTCAACACTGATGATTTGTAAGGCAAATAGGGGGTAGTAAACACACACACCCATACAAATAAAATATACAGACAATAAACCACAAAATTTAAATACAGTACCCTGCCTTCTGTAGCCTGCAAAAAGCAGACGCATTTCCGGTCGTCGCTTCTCTCCCTCTGAAAATAGTGGAGGGAGAGAAGCGACCACCGGAAATGCGTCAGCTGTTCGCAGGCTATGCCTTCCCCAGCTTATTTTTCAATATACCCATGTATTTATTTCAACCTTGGTCGGATGGACGTAGCCATGGGGCTGGCCATAACTCTGGGCATCAAACTACGTTCATCCATGAGGATGGACGTAGCCATGGGGCTGGTCAGCTAGTTCAGAACTATGCCTGCAGAATCGTAGCTGGTTTAAGAAAATAGGATCATGTTTCAGAAGCCCTGAAGTCCCTTAAATGGCTAAACGTAAGGGATAAACTGCTTTTTAACGACCTAGTGATGGTGTGCAAATGCTTAAAGAACCTAACACCTGGTTACCTTTTAACGCTTTTAAAAAAAGAATTTTTAAACACCTTTTTAATTCATAGATAGTTTTTTATTATTGAAATGTAAATAGCCTTTAAAATTAACGTTCATTATTATTTATAGAAATTCGTTATTTTATCACTGAAATGTAAATAGTTTTCTACTTTATTTTATTTCATTTTATTTTAATTCGTGTATTTATGGCGGAAGAGACCCCAAGGGGGAGCTATGCATTAAAGTATGTATGTATGTATGTATGTATGTATGTATGTATGTATGTATGTATGTATGTATGTGTGTGTGTGTGTGTGTATGTGTGTATGTGTGTATGTATGTATGTATGTGTGTACGTGGACAGGTGTATTTGTTCTAGTCTGCAGTTTTATGCCCAGAGTTATTATTATTATAATAATTTTTATTACTACTATCTGCTACATAGTCTTCACTTCATTTCAACCAGGGTCAATATATTTTGCTCAAGACTGCAGTTTTAATCTTTTAAACTCAGAGCTTTTTTTATTGATCACTAGTATTTCTTCACAGGTTAGTCTGTTACATAATCTTTACTTTACTCAATCCTTACTTTATTTCTACCAGGGCCTGATGGACCTAGGCATAGGGTTAGGAAATGTAGGTCAATGTAATATCTTGTTCTAGTCTTCAGTTTTAATAATGGTCTGCAGAGTTTTTGATTCACTTTTATATTTTTCTCTGGTATAAATCCTTTACTTAATCCCGGCTTAGGACTATAATTCCATGACAACACTTTAGAGGGTCTTTTTAAAGAATCCACAATGATATTCAATATGGCCTAGTTAAATTAATGTCAATAAAGAAAAGGAAGTTTGTTTAGGTAAATTCACAAAACTAGTTTTGTCTTATGATCTCTTCAGTTGTTGCTGGTGAACAACTGATAAGAGGTCATAAAATGAAACAAGTTTTGTGAATCTTCTAAACAAATTGGTGTGACTTGAAAGTGGATCCCACTTTTTCTACACTGAATATTGACATAGTGTTAAGTAACACTTTCTTGGCTCCAGTGAGCAAAATCTCGCAGAACAGAAAAATATTCCTTCAGTAAAAGGGAAAATATAAACAAGGAAACGTGCATTAAGAACGTGTATTAAGAAGACTCTTTATGTTCACTTTACAAAATAATTTTATTGGTGACTAATTTGAAAATACTGAATTTTTTTTGTTGTGCCAGTTTGCATTAAAATTGAATTATTTTAAGTAAATAATATCATAGGTGACGAATTACTCCTTAATTTTGGAGTGAAATTTCAGCGTTAATTTGTAATTTCACATGTGAAATTACAAAATTGCCATGGCAACCCTTCTGTACGTCTCAGTGTCAAGATGGCGACAAAGTTTTAAAATGCTGTGAATGAAGATGTCAGGGCACAAAAAGACGCTTTAGAAAACCTGAACACACAAGAGAACATCAAGAAGGATTCTCACAGGTATTTTGCCGAAAAAGTCTGAAAAATTCTGAACTTTGTAAGCCAAATTTAAGGTCTAAACATTTGAGAGATTGGAGTTCTCGATCGATACGATCCAGGATAAACATGTCAAAAATCCAAGATTGCTAACGTAATTCGTCACCCATGATATTAATAGGTAATCAAATGGNAATTTTATTGGTGACTAATTTGAAAATACTGAATTTTTTTTGTTGTGCCAGTTTGCATTAAAATTGAATTATTTTAAGTAAATAATATCATAGGTGACGAATTACTCCTTAATTTTGGAGTGAAATTTCAGCGTTAATTTGTAATTTCACATGTGAAATTACAAAATTGCCATGGCAACCCTTCTGTACGTCTCAGTGTCAAGATGGCGACAAAGTTTTAAAATGCTGTGAATGAAGATGTCAGGGCACAAAAAGACGCTTTAGAAAACCTGAACACACAAGAGAACATCAAGAAGGATTCTCACAGGTATTTTGCCGAAAAAGTCTGAAAAATTCTGAACTTTGTAAGCCAAATTTAAGGTCTAAACATTTGAGAGATTGGAGTTCTCGATCGATACGATCCAGGATAAACATGTCAAAAATCCAAGATTGCTAACGTAATTCGTCACCCATGATATTAATAGGTAATCAAATGGTATACTCGTGAAATTAGGGAATAATTTCACTTGCGTTTTGTCCAAACGCGCGTGAAATTATTCCCTAATTTCACTCGTCACCATTTGATTACACATACTAATACTTGATTGAATGTTAAAATAATAAGTCTTATTAATAAAACGTTTGCTTTTCTCTATAAATTTTAAAATGAAATTTCCACTTATTTTAGGTGTATATAATATGCATAAACTGATTTATAAGTCAACTAATTAAATACATCCTTCTTCCAGAATCCCTGGTTAGGTACCACAATTGAATCTAAATGAAGTAGGCATTGTTGTTCAGTTACAGACTGATATATCTTATCCTACAAAGAGCAAGTGCAACAATTTAATGCAGTAAAATAAAAAATTAAGTTCTCAGACAGTCAGGTGAGCAAATTTTTCATTAAAATAACTGCAACATCTAGTCACTGGGGCTTTCTTTGGGTTTTTCACATTAATTCCCACATTAACTTACACAGATCAATGTAAAAATGCCTCTTGTAGTCTTTTGCAGTAATGATGCACAAGATTTAGGACTTCGCTGTAAGCCACTGATTATCCAAGTTTACTTAAATTTGGGTTTTAGTAAAAACAGGCTCAGGCCCCAGGACCCATGGCCTAAGGCCCGGCAGCCATGCAGTGGCCTGAGGCCCACTGGCCTGGTGGCCCAGTCCTGATATTCCACAGATATTTGTTCACTGGTAAATTTTCATGCATGCACAGTAATGCATAGGTTGAAAATCAGGAATGAATCACTTTTGTGCTTGCCCTCTGGCTTACCATAGGCAATGAACCATGGCTCTTTAGCAAAACCCAAGTTTACCTCAAAATGCATCAAAATTCTACTTTTTTTGTTATGTCCTCAACTTGAAGACTTGGGTGGTAACTCACTTTATCGGTTTTCTCTAAACCTTTTCTTTTCTTCAAGTCTTTCAAAAAATTTCCTCCATCCATAGTAACTACACTCGATTATCATGGTGGTTAAGGCAGTCGGATGTCTTTCAACTGTTTTTCTTGTACGCACAAGTGCCTCTAAATAATCGTCTTTGGTCGAATCAGTCCACACATTGTACACTGGCGTAGGAAATGGAGAAAACTTTGAAAGCAAATAACTACATAAAATCCGGAAAAGCCTGCCATTTCCATCCCCAAAGGGGTGAAGATCGAGAAGTTCAAATAACATCCACCCACAAGTTTTAAAAAGATAGTAAAAGTCATCAAAGTCTTTCAGACCGTCTTTGGTACAGCAATCGAACAGAATATTGCACTTTTCAAGAGTTTGGCGACAACAGCCTTTTCCATTTTCTCAGGTTCTGGAAGATATGGATAATTGTACCTCTCTCCTTCGAAATCGACAAACCGTCTTTGGTTACTAAATATACCAGGTTTCGTGCGGCTATCTCCGAGAGGGACGTCTTGAAGTAGTATGCGATGGGTCTCTTGTAGCAGACTCTCTTCCATGAGTCCATAATTCCTCGGTTCTTCTTCTCTTTTAATTTTATCCAGCAAGTGTTCGTATGCTTTCTTCACGTTTAGAGTCTCCTGCTGGCTCTTTGAGGTGATACCTTTATCGTGACAGTTCTTGAGAAAGGCATCCGTTTCCTCGAAGGTTGAAAAGCCTTTTTCCTCCTCCATGTTCACGTGTAATATAAACTCAACGAGGAAGTCTTGGTAGACTTGTTCGATCAAATCAGTTTCATAATTATCCTTTTTTTGTCCTTCCCATTCCTTGCTGTATTCCATTATTTTTGCTACCATCTCTTTGACTGGAATGTCTTCCGTTTTTCGCCACTTGGGAGCTTCCAAGGCCTCGAATGGAAGCAACTCCTTCAACAGTCGCTTCCTCTCTTCCGCCATGATAGGTCACTCGGTAAAGCGTGCCAGAAACGTGCTTGCCTCGTTTCATACATACATACATAGTTAATTTGGTAACGCAGGTTACAGAATACGCAAGACTGAAGTCCTGATGTGGACCTGCCTATCTACTTGTTAAAAACTAAAGTATATTATACATGTGAATAAATAGAAAATCAACAGAAGTTAAATAATAAATAATAATAACAATACAAATATAAATAAGATTAATAAAGAAATTCCTCATTCCTATTTCTTACCATGGAAGATTCCTTATTATAGCTGATAGAATTAATTAAGTCCTTGCTAGATCTAAGTCTTTTTTTAAAACATTCTAAGCTAGAAGACTTTTTGATCGAATCAGGAAGTGAGTTCCAAGCAATGGCAGCTCTATGCTTAAAAGTCAGCCTGCCAATTTCTGATTTAGGACTTGGAAATTCAATATTCATTGATTTCCTCAGGCAGTGAGATGATTGTTTTAACATTACTAGATCATTTAAAACATTGGTATTGCATCTATAGTAGGATTTATACGCTTCTACTAACAGTCTCTTAGTATAGTAAAATGATAAATTGTTCCAGCCTTTCAATTTATTTAATTGATCAGCATTCGAATTCCTTGAAAGTTTAAAAATAAGTTTAGAAGCTCGTATATGAGCACGCTCAAGATCATCCATTAGTGCAGGTGAGCAGGAACCCCATACTAGTATTCCGTATAAGACACTTGGAAGTACAGTCCTAAAATAAATGGTCTGTAGAATGGATGATGGCAAGAATTTAATTCTTCTGAGGACTGCTATTTTCTTATTAAAAGATTTTAACAGACTTTTAGTGTGTTCTTGCCAAGAAAGATTACTGTCTATAGTTACTCCTAGACATTTACATGATGATTTTAATTCAATAAATTTTTCACCATACTTCAAAGGCAACAATGGACCAATGAATCTTTGTTTAGATAATAATAAGGCTTCTGACTTAGTTTCATGAGCAATCAATCTGTTAGCACCACACCAACTAAGAACTTGATCTAGTATAACTTGCATGGCCTTAATTATAGTATCAATATTATCACTTATGGTAAATATGGTAGTATCATCAGCAAACATATAAAGTTCTCCCGAGGTTACAGATTCAGGAAAGTCATTGACATAAAGGGAGAACAGTTTGGGTCCTAAGATTGACCCTTGTGGTACTCCAAACTTGATAGAGCTAGTGTCTGATTTCACTTCATTAACTTGAACAAATTGGTTACGATTTAACAGGTAGCTTCCCATCCAAGATAGTAAATTTCCTGATATACCAACAGCTTTCAACTTTTGTAATAGGATGGTATGGTTCACCGAGTCAAAGGCCTTCCTGAAGTCAATAAACAGAACACCAACTTTAAGATTATTATCTAGGGCCCACTTCCAAGTGTCAGTAAGATGAAGAAGGAGACCCTCTGTAGAATGATTCTTGCGAAAGCCCCATTGATTGTCACTAAGCAGGTTCTGAGCTTCAATGTGATTGTCTATGCTGTTGCTTATAATATCTTCAAGAATCTTTCCTGGGATACTTAAGAGAGATATGGGCCTGAAGTTGCTCATATCAGTGGGTGCTCCCTTTTTGAATACTGGCTTAACACGTGAGAGTTTCCAGTTTGTTGGAAAAACTGCATCATCTATACTTTTCTTGAAAACTGGTAGCAGGCTATGGATAGAAGATTCCCCAAGGAGTTTAAGGTCCTTGGGTGAGACTAGGTCCGGTCCAGTAGCTTTATTCGGGTTTGATGATTTTTCAATTTTCTTCTTCACTAGCTCCCAATTTAACTCTATGTCGCATCTTGTAGGAGTGACTCTTGTTACATAAGAAGTTAAGGTGTTTGGATCAAGAGGTTCCAAATTCTTTGTAAGTTCTTCACTGATATTAACAAAGAACTCATTAAAGTAAGAAGCTTTTTCTAGATCACTGGTTAATACATCTTTACTGTCAGTTATTATGGGACCAATAGTACTATCCTTACTTTTCCTTAGAACCTTGTTGGTTAGTTTCCAAAATTGCTTAGGATCTTGAGAATTCATAAATTCCTGTTTCCAATAAGCAGCTTCCGATTGTTTTAACAACTTTTTTACTTCATTTCTCTTGGATTTATATAATTCCCATTTGACTTGATCTTGAGATGACTTGGCTTCCTTAAGTAACTTATAGCGAAGATTTATTTGCTTCCTTATGTAAGTAGAAATCCAGGGTAAAGATTTGGATCTTATTTTAACTTTCCTAGTTGGGAGGTGGTGGTTGACTATATCCTTATATAAATAGTCCCACAGGTACAAGCTATCGTAACCTTTCTAACCTCGCACAGGCTCCCCTCACATTCCACCAGACTTTCAACACAGATAACCCAGGTTCTGGGATGGTACTACGGGTTCGACGCCGTTAAACTGAAAATTTTGACTCCACTACACAACATCAACAGACAAAACGTAATGACAAATAAGTTTCTTTTGGGACGGCTTGGCGAGAACCAACCCTACAAAGTACTTAATATGTAAATACAATAATAGGTGATTATGGGTGAATACCTAATGTACAACACTCGCTAGAACAAAGCACTAGCACAAAGGATAAGCAAAAAGAAAGAACTAACTGCTACAACTCAGTTGTTATTGTTTTAAATTTACATCACATCGGTGTGTCTTCTCACCTGACATATTCTGACAATTTTGCCGGGAGGCTAAAACATTTTCTTGGCCCCTAATCCTCTGGTCTGTTTTTCTGCCAATTTCTTTTACATTAGAGAAGCAATTCTTTTCAATTTTGAATAAAACTCTTCTACAATCTTCATACATCGGCGCGCTTCACTTGCCGTACAGCTGAGTTATTGATGTCAAAATGTGGATCAAATTACAAAATAGCAAATTGTGCCCTGGAGGGTGGATTAATTGGAGCTGTGCCGTGGTCGAACACAGAATTATTCTATCCTATGTCCTTATTTGTGTTACATTTCGTTTTTAACAGTAACTCTAAGGATTCTTCTGAAATTTTGATTTTTCTCTCTCCGTGCGACCCTAGGTGGTAATTAAATTAACACCTTTTGGGTGACATAACATAGTTTATTTTGATATATTCTGATTCCTCAAGAACTGAGGAATACTGTCAATGTAGTGTCATATAGATATTATCCATAAAATAACCACTAAAAATGATGCAAAAATTCGCAAAATTTGCCGGTGCAGATACCTTTTTCCCATAAGCTTTCTATTTAATAGATTTGTGCTGCATGCAATTTTTTTTCTTCCCCCCACCTCAAGAGTTAAATGGTGGGCTCCTAAACATGCATGATCTGTGAATGGAACCTCCTATTCGGTAGTTTACTTTTAATTGTAATTTTAGCTTTTTAGCCTTTTACAGTTTCGTTTTTAATCTTGTCATGCGCATTTGAGCATTTTATGGAATTTGCGCATTATAAATGTTTTATTATTATTATTACTATTATTATTATTATTATTATTATTATTATTCTGGAGACTAGACCTTGCCTATTTTAGAGAAAAAAAAAGATTTAAGTTTTGATGACCTTGCCGGTCCCGTGAAATATATGGCGATCCCGCAAGACGGCTCGCAAAACAAATTAATAACATTTTACAATCACGGACACAAAATATCAAAACGGTTTTAAATACGCAAGCAGATTATAGCAACACCAAAGCCCACACACATTCGATCAAATAAGCGATATATAGCGATATTTGTTAGCTTCTTAGCTTTTCCTCGACCTCGCTCGTCCAAATAACTGTCGTATCCCTTGCTAATTTGCACAAGCGACCCGAGGCTCTTACCCGTTACTGTGTGACGTCATACTGGCAGGCGGAGTGGGTCAAGAAACTTAGGTGGAAAACAATAGAGTTACCTTCCCCTCCTGCTTCGCCTTCATCGCCCTTACAAAGTTGGTCGTTCTTGCCTTTGAGAACCTTAATGATGAAACCCTCATCAAAGAAAATATCATTCCCCTAATTATGGAGACCTCATCAAACCTAAAATCCTCTTGGAAGCACACCTAACCCCTTCAATAATCGGGTTATCCGTGGGAGAGGGGATACCCGCCATGGTATGAGCCCATTTAGTACCGTAGAAACAGCCGAGTCTACGACGCATGGGGAGTGCGACTTTTTAGAATTTGTTTCAGGGACTGGCAGGACAGGCCCAGGAATGAAGCTTACTGGAAGGTACACCACTGTTGTACTAACGACCTTTGAGGAGAGAGCCGCCGTCGATTGCATTGTATACTGTCTGTCATTAAAGGATTAAACCCTCTGGTGGGAAATTCTGGGGCCCGCGTAAGAAGCCAGAGTGGAATTTATCTGAAAAGTGAAAAATGAAATGCTGATTAGGATAAACATTCAAAAATTTCTAAATTTTGGTCAATCTTAGTTACAAATTAAACAAATACTGACGTAAACAACCCGCAAATAGCAGAGGCTATAAATCGAGGAATGCAGGTTGAGTAAAGATATAATTACTTAGATTATTAAATTTTAAAAGTTACAGGAAAAACTAGAAAAAACTACAGTTATAAGACAATAGGGCACAATCAATGGCACACAAAAGAAAAAAAGTAAGTAAATAAATTATCTGACATATTTTCAAGAAAAAAGGACATAACTAATTTTATTCCTAAGACGTTAGACGGATTAAGAAGACGTCAAGCAATTTGCTTATAAGCCTTTAAGAAAGTCCTGTTGTTCTGTCCTCCTACCTACTATTACCAGGATGGTTATTTTGTCATTAACAACTGGTTTTATGCCTGATGCCCTAAAGATTGCTTCTCTTTCACCTACGTTAAAGAAACCAACTGCTGACTTAAAGCAGTTCACAAACTTTCGGCCAATCTCAAATTTAAAGTTTATTTCTAAGCTGGTTGAAAA